ATACTCCAAATAATTCATATATTATGAATAAAGTAGTTTATAGTTTTTATACATTTTATAGTCATAGTATGTGTAATATTAAAATGGGAAAAATTGATAGTAATAATCCCAACTATTGGCGGTCCGCTCATAATAATCCCAACTATTGATTATTCCAGAATAATCCCAACTTTATGGACCTTCCGCCAATAATGGTCCCTATGAATAAATTCTTGTAGTTTCTAAAGTGGATGAGATGAGATATAACAAGTCATCCCTATAAATAATCTCAACTTTTAATTTTTACACTTAATTTCTATTTAAAATTCACTTTTTATAGAGGTAATATCTGGTCATGGACCATTATTAGCGGATAGTCTATATAGTTGGGATTATACAAAAATAAACAATAGTTGAGATTATTTTCAGCGGAGCGACAATAGTTAGGATTATTATTTTCAATTTGTCCTATTAAAATGTACTACGTACTTCGTATTAATTACGTAATTTTATTAGATCTGATATTTTTTATTTAAGAAATTATATACACAATATTTTCAACGTATATCATTATTATGCACTAGATTATTGGATGAATACGAACTTTTTCACAATTTGATACTTAAAAGTATGTTATAAAGAACAAAAATGTGAAAATATCTAGAAACACTATTATAGTTCATTCAACATCCATTGTTGCATAGATCTCAAATAAATATGTGGTTCTAAAACATATCCCGATCATTAACCTGATTCCAAAACAAGTTTTTAGTACTAATTCCAATCTATGACTCATAAAAAATACGGAGTATGTGCCTTTTATAAAATTGCCCTCAATTGGACATCTAAGCTTAAAATAAGAATATTTGATTTTTTATACTACCTCCATCCCGAAATGAAGTTTCTCTTCATTATTCATCGGTCAACTTAAACCACTCATAATCTTTTACTTTATATATCAAATTTTATCAAATTTAAATTTTATTGATCAGATTTTGTAGCAGCTTTAATGCAGTTTCTGAATATGTGAATTTTATTTACTAAAAAAAATCCGAATGTAAACAGGGATCGAGTTGCTTTAATGTCAGTCACGCATCGTAAACCGAACGGGAACTTCTTACGGGAGTACATTTTGTAAAAATTAGGAGGAGGATACTGAATTACTCACCATTGAGAGAGCTACGGGAGCGGGACGAATGTGATGATCCACCATGTTAATGTGATAAAGTCATAAAGGCAATGGCTTAATGTTGGGAAAGCTATGAGAGCTGTGCTAACATGATGATCGACGTGCTGAATGGATGATGCAATGTGTTACTTTGAGAGTTCTTTGCTGAATGGACGATGAAATGTCTTACTTTGAGAGTTCTTTAAGGGCATCTCCAATGCTAGAGTGCATTGGAGTTCCATGTCACCAATTGCATCTTCTATGATAAAATCTACCTTCCAATAGAAATGTAAATGGAAATACAAAATTTGAATTGGAAAAGGCAGAGGTCCAACACAAGGTCTACAAACAGATCCCCGGTGCCACCTTCTGACACTCCAGATAAGCAAGGAACTCATTATTCTGCACTGTACGTAGCTTTCCTTTCTTCTTTCATAAATTTTGATTTATTTTGTTGTTGTTCCCTTTCTGCATTGGAGTACACTTCAAATAGACTTCTCTATCTGCTGATATTTGCTCTAGACCCTCTCTATTTTCTTGCCACATAAGGAGCAATTCAACATGAGCATTGGAGATGCTCTAAGAGATGAGCGGATGATCAATGTGCTGATGAAGGTAATAACTTAACAATGATAGTGTATGATCAATCATTGATGTAAAGATATCTTGGTGAAATATGCACTTCATACATATTGAGACTTTCTGTAAAGCATGTTTTTATTATAATCTCCGTTCCACTAGTATTGAAACACGAGGAGATGGTACAATTATTAAAAAAAAAGTAAATTTTTGTGATTTATATTGAATTGATTTAGAATCACACAATATTTACCAAATTTGACAGCGTCGTCTAATGAATTTGGAGCACCAATTCCAAATGTAAAAAATGAGGCCCCACATTAATATAAAAAACCCCAAAAATATCAATTTAAATATTTATATTCAAATCAACTGAATACTTATTAAATAATGCAACTAAAAAAATTCTAAAACTGACTTAATGTTCAATTGCAACTCATTGCTCAAATAATTTGAATAAAAAAGGATTACAACGGACCGACGAAAAAAGATGAATCTGAGACTAATTAAGAGAGTATTGTTTAGTACTCCCTCCGTCCCCCTATATTTGGGACAAAGGGGTGTGGTGGAATTTTTAAGAAAAAGTAGATATGTGTGGTTCATATTAAATTCATAAAGTGTGAATAGTGTAAGAATGAATTGTAGCCACCCAAACTTTATCAAATATGGTATGAGACAAACTTAATAGAATGGACGAAAAAGGTAAAACATGACAAAGTTAGGGAGACGGATGGAGTACTACTTTCGCTCCACTAATATTTGGACATGAGAAGATGATACTATTATTAAGAAAAGTTAATGTATATGGTTAATTAATATCGAATTGATAGAGTAAGATAAAGTAAAATTGCACAAAATTATTAAAAAAAGTTAATGTATGTAGTTAATACTGAATTTATAGAGTAAGATGAAGTAAAACTGCACAAAATTTTATCAAATTTGGTATAGAATAATTATAGTAGTTGGTAGTTACTAGTTGGTATACCCTCCGTCCCATTTTACCTGTTTAACTTTCCTTTTCGATTGTTTCAAATAAGTGTCACATTTCTTTTTTTGGATAGAAATATGTGATCTACAACATTTTACTTTATTATACATGATCTCAATCACAATATTTACTTTTTCAACCGGGAAGCTAGTATAAATTAGATTTTTGTTCACTAAACTGAAAATTGATGAAGTAAACCTTTTACTTAGTTCTCTGCTTAAACCCTAACCCTCGACGTGCTCTCTCATTCGCCGAACAGATGGGAAAGTAAATTTTTGTGATTTATATTGAATTGATTTAGAATCACACAATATTTACCAAATTTGATAGCGTCGTCTAATGAATTTGGAGCACCAATTCCAAATGTAAAAAATGAGGCCCCACATTAATATAAAAAAACCCAAAAATATCAATTTAAATATTTATATTCAAATCAACTGAATACTCATTAAATAATGCAACTAAAAAAATTCTAAAACTGACTTAATGTTCAATTGCAACTCATTGCTCAAATAATTTGAATACAAAAGGATTACAACGGACCGACGAAAAAAGATGAATCTGAGACTAATTAAGAGAGTATTGTTTAGTACTCCCTCCGTCCCCCTATATTTGGGACAAAGGGGTGTGGTGGAATTTTTAAGAAAAAGTAGATATGTGTGGTTCATATTAAATTCATAAAGTGTGAATAGTGTAAGAATGAATTGTAGCCACTCAAACTTTATCAAATATGGTATGAGACAAACTTAATAGAACGGACGAAAAAGGTAAAACGGGACAAAGTTAGGGAGACGGATGGAGTACTACTTTCGCTCCACTAATATTTGGACATGAGAAGATGATACTATTATTAAGAAAAGTTAATGTATATGGTTAATTAATATCGAATTGATAGAGTAAGATGAAGTAAAATTGCACAAAATTATTAAAAAAAGTTAATGTATGTAGTTAATACTGAATTTATAGAGTAAGATGAAGTAAAACTGCACAAAATTTTATCAAATTTGGTATAGAATAATTATAGTAGTTGGTAGTTGCTAGTTGGTATACCCTCCGTCCCATTTTATCTGTTTAACTTTCCTTTTCGATTGTTTCAAATAAGTGTCACATTTCTTTTTTTGGATAGAAATATGTGATCTACAACATTTTACTTTATTATACATGATCTCAATCACAATATTTACTTTTTCAACCGGGAAGCTAGTATAAATTAGATTTTTGTTCACTAAACTGAAAATTGATGAAGTAAACCTTTTACTTAGTTCTCTGCTTAAACCCTAACCCTCGACGTGCTCTCTCATTCGCCGAACAGATGGGAAAGTAAATTTTTGTGATTTATATTGAATTGATTTAGAATCACACAATATTTACCAAATTTGATAGCGTCGTCTAATGAATTTGGAGCACCAATTCCAAATGTAAAAAATGAGGCCCCACATTAATATAAAAAAAACCCAAAAATATCAATTTAAATATTTATATTCAAATCAACTGAATACTCATTAAATAATGCAACTAAAAAAATTCTAAAACTGACTTAATGTTCAATTGCAACTCATTGCTCAAATAATTTGAATAAAAAAGGATTACAACGGACCGGCGAAAAAAGATGAATCTGAGACTAATTAAGAGAGTATTGTTTAGTACTTCCTCCGTCCCCCTATATTTGGGACAAAGGGGTGTGGTGGAATTTTTAAGAAAAAGTAGATATGTGTGGTTCATATTAAATTGATAAAGTGTGAATAGTGTAAGAATGAATTGTATCCACCCAAACTTTATCAAATAAGGTATGAGACAAACTTAATAGGACGGGCGAAAAAAGGTAAAACAGGACAAAGTTAGGGAGACGGATGGAGTACTACTTTCGTTCCACTAATATTTGGACATGAGAAGATGATACTATTATTAAGAAAAGTTAATGTATATGGTTAATATCGAATTGATAGAGTAAGATGAAGTAAAACTGCACAAAATTATTAAGAAAAGTTAATGTATGTAGTTAATACCGAATTGATAGAGTAAGATGAAGTAAAACTGCACAAAAATTTATCAAATTTGGTATAGAACAATTATAGTAGTTGGTAGTTGGTATACCCTGCGTCCCATTTTACCTGTTTAACTTTCCTTTTCGATTGTTTCAAATAAGTGTCACATTTCTTTTTTTGAATAGAAATATGTGATCTACAACATTTTACTTTATTATACATGATCTCAATCACAATCTTTACTTTTTCAACCGGGAAGCTAGTATAAATTAGATTTTTGTTCACTAAAGTGAAAATTGATGAAGTAAACCTTTTACTTTGTTAGTTTGTTCTCTGCTTAAACCCTAACCCTCGACGTGCTCCCTCATTCGCCGAACAGATGGGGAGGTCCAGAAGGAAATACAAGCGAGCGAGAACTAAGGTGCGAGTCGGATTGCCAAAGAAAAATCCTCATTTATTCAAGCCGGCGTTTAACTTGCCGCCGAAGCTTCGGTCACTGCTGGATCCTCTCTCTCAGTGGGACGCAGAGGGCAGCGTTATTGCAAATTACAAGTCCTTCGGCTTTCTCTCAAATCCAAACATGCTTGGCGTGCGCTCGCGCACCTCCCACATCGTCGAAAGCGAGTCTCTTCAGGTCCCGCCGCCCGTGTCCTCCGACGGCCCTGAATCGGATGCCGAGTTTCAGCCTATTGATTCCGGCAGCGATCTGGAGGAAGATGGTTAGTCAAAAGTTCCAATCCCTCTCCATATGCATTATGCCTTTTGTGCTTGTTAATTTAATCACCGCGTTTAACGGTGCCATCTATTATCGTTGTTTATTTGATGGTGATATAAGTTCAAATGTACATTCACTGATTCACGCAAGTAATACTGTTCGCTCAGGCGTGATTTCCTAGTTCCTATTGCTAGATTCTTCGATTCAGAATCTTGGATAAATTTTATAATTAGACTGACTTGGGTCCTATTATTTCACCTGATAGTTAACATGTATAACCAGAACTTGACTTTGATTAAAAATACATCTTTAGTACTTCAGTAGTGTATATTTAGGCTATTGGATAATAATATTTAAGAACTTCTTTAACCGCAAATATATTATTTAACAATTTGATCTTGAGAAGTGATTAGATTTTGAAGAAGTATGAGATGACATGTTTTTTTCTGGAAGCATCATTGAATATTATTTAGAGCCAGTTTGTTAGGGTTGTATAGTTTGGTAGATTCTGAATTTTCTGGAAGGCATTTGTGTTCCATTTCAGCAAAACAAGCATGTGAAGTGAAACAATTCTGAACAGAGTAAGCAGAACAAGCCACTTCTGTCTTACCGATCAGTGCCCTAATTTATTTAAATGAAGCTTCGATTGTAGTATTTTCTGCAATTGTTTGGTAAAAATTAAAAATTCAGACTGTTTATGGTTTTTTTCATAACTTAACATTTCGCTTACTGTGTGGTAACCATTTTTGTGCGTCTCCAGATCTGAAGTCAGCACTTGGGAAGAAGCGGAGGGATGGACGAAGTGCACCTCCTCAACCACTAACAGCCATTCAACGGGTTTATATCCAAAGACTTGTGGATGAATATGGGGACAATTACCAGGTATGTTTGAGGTTGCCTAAAAACAATTTTCATTACTTATCATTGAGGTTGTTATGTCATTGCTTAGTTCAAAGTTTGAAACATCTTAATTTGTGGAATGTAACAGAGAATGTTCATGGACACAAAACTGAACAAGATGCAGCACTCAGTAGCAACATTGGAGAATCTGTGCAAAAGATATCAGTTGTACCGTGATAAGAATCCCTTGATTGTAGGTGTTTAGAGTATAATCAATCCTCTGTACCTTAAACAGAACGAGTTCATTTATTCAAGTAATGATACAATTTTGCCTTTTTGTGTGTGCTCATGATTATAATTTCAGCTTTTAGTATACCCTACTACTCTGAACTGTGGACGATGCTTTTTTGAACTATGGTTATTGCAATCGATAAGTAAAATTGAGACACTTTAATTAATTAATTAATTATCGTAAATGTAAAGGATTTTATACAATGACGTTTTCCATGTTTTTGGGAGGAAAGACTCATGTATTCATGTTTTTAGAGATAATGATAAATATAATTTACTCGTGCACTTTAATCCAACTCGATACCTAGGCGGCTAGGCTAGGGACGCTAGGCCCTAGCTATGCATGAATTTCAACGTTTTCCCGTGAACAGAAGACTACATTAAATTCTGTGTATTGGGAAGAATATGTATAACTACATTTGCAATTACGAGTACTAGGCCGAGTAAGTTCGGTTCGAATAAGGAAAGTCATGTTTTGACGCCAAGCTTTTCACATTTATGGAATGGAACATGAAGGTAAGAAACTGTATGGCAATGAATGGATAATATGCATAATTATGGTAAAAACGCAAGATTATTAGTGGAAGGTGAAAGAAGAAAAAACAAAGAGGAAAAGAGAAGTGTCAAATGAGTACATTAACTTGTATGCACAAGAGTAAAGAGTACCTTATAATCTTATATTGCATATAATGTTCACAAGGACATAAACTCAATCTTATCGTTAATTGATACATCCACTAGATTAAGACGCTAATATGGCTTAATTGGCTAACACAATACTAATATGGAAAAACTAAAGTCATATCATTCGATTTTAACTAAAGCTACATCATGAAGTTATGGCAACATTAAGCCACATCTTACCCAAGAGAGGATTAGAGGATGGTTGACTTTCAATTTCTCGATATCTTCTTTGGAAGATATCGGTATAGCTAGCGCCAAAACGCTGAATCTTCCAGTAATCTTGACTTACTATGCCACCGCTTATCTGTCATCTCAGCATCACCATGAGGTGAACATAGTCAGGAACATGAGAAGGGGGCGAAGGTCGGTGAAGAAGGGGGCGACACAGGAAGAGAGATGTCTTGTATTTGTGGTATCATATGTATTGCATTAATAAGTGGTTGAGAATCAATGCTCTTGGCCGATTTGCATGTTCAAGATCCCCGGAGAAGTTCAGGATCGAGACAGTGACTCAAAGTTGCTGTCGGACAAGGTGGATGTGGTGCGAGTTAGACTCCGATGTTTGCCACATAATCATTTTTAAAGTTAAATTCAAAACTATACTCAATCAACGCTAAAAGACCGAGTTTATGTCCTTGTGAATATGAGATGCAATATAATATACTCATTGCTCCGGTGCGTACAAGTGACTAAAGGAATGATGTGAACTTGTTCCTAAAAGACATAAGGAATAAGAGCAATTATAATCTCTTATATTTACCAAAAGCATGACATAAAATGAATAAGAGCTAGTAGGATGGTGGACTGTCAGCAAGAGTTTAGACTATGTGCTGGCGGTATGGAAAACACAGCCCAATTGTTTGTCCAATGCCCTATGGCACAAGAGGTCTGGAAGGGAGTCGGTTGGGGAATTCAAAATCCTGCAGCTCATAGTTTCCTGGCGTGGGTGGAAACATGTTTCTCAGCCGAGAATGAGAAGCCTTGCTACTGGTCGGTGATGGGGTGTTGGGGGAATATTGCGAGCAAGAAATGAAAAGGAGTGGCAGAAGGTTGATAGTGCTGCAGCGTAAATTATAATCTCCGCTAGGTTGTTGCTGGTGAGTTGGTGCAGGGCTGTTGGGTCTGGGAGGAAGAGAGAGCTGTGGTGTTCATCTGATGCGCACCGATGGAAGAGTCCAGCAGAGGGATGGATAAAGATAAACCCCGATGCTGCAATAAAGGAAAACAATGGAAGAAGCGGGCTTGTCTGGGTGGAATGCAACTCAGGAGGAGAATTTATGGCTGGAGGGGTGCTGTCGGGACCGAGTTGGTGTTCCCAGAGGGAAGCACAGGAGTATACGTGAAACTCTAAGTTGGGTTGTTGTAAAAGGGTGAAATTGTTTGGAGGTGATTCTCCTTCAGATTAATATTGATGTTATAATTTATAAATGTGATGAAAACCAACTTTTCTTACATAAACGTTTCTCGTAAAACGATTAGCGAAGTGGATAGCCCACATTGTAAGTTTGTAACTGGGGTAGCCATTTCTTTGCTTGATCGCAGAGTCTAGTTAGATGTTGGTCTTTGCATTTAGAATTATTTTGATTATGACTTGATAAAAGTTAGTTTTGTTTTCTTCAAAAACATAATTGGAGCTTGAGGTATTATAATAACCGAAATACGTACTTACATACACTGATGTAGTTAAGAAATGCTTCAATTTAAAAGAAGAGGAAAACTACCATAAGTATATTCTTCTGAAATAAACAACACACCATGAAGTATGCATGTACTCCGCACCAATAAATAGTTACTAAGCTATCCAGATTTCAATCCCTCCACAAATACACAATATTACAAAATGAAAATATGTTTTTTATTATCATTACTTTTACTTTTAAATCAAAGGATAATGGTGGTTATACAACTTCTCTCGAAAGAATGACCACAAAACATTACTAAATTCCTGGCATTATGACGACAGGCTTTTGATCTTCATTAATCAGTCCGAATCTGAATCAGGATTGACAGATGACCTTACTGACCTGCATTGATTATCATCATCTCTCTCATCATTGTCTTGTTTGTTCTCCTTAATCATTCCTGGAAATACATGGTCCAGTCACAAGCCAAATTCACCAATATAAAAATTTCTCTTGAAAAAAACATTACCTTTTTTTAACATAAAGGCCTCCAGTGTTTTTGTGGAGAAATCGTCCTTTCCTCCCAAGTCCTGAAATCCAACCAGCCTATCTGTAGCAATTCCATTCCTAAAAACAAAAAAAAAAAAAAAAAAAAAAAAAAAAAAACACTTTTCAGGCTATAGAACGTTATGTAGCGTCTATTTTTTTTATAACTCGAAGAAACATCCTTTAGTGCTCGGGGCTGAGCACCACACACAACTGCTTCGAAACAAGCCGCAGATTCCGAAACCAAACCCCGGGACAAACGTGAGAGCACCCGAAAAGCTAAATCACCCCTTAGATTAATAGAGCTAGGGGTTGAACCTGTGTGGGATAAGAACTCAAGGAACTAAATCTCCCAAGCACCCCAGAGGGACTACCTTGTCCCGTTTATGTAATGTGTCTATGTATGAATGCAAAGAACACAAAGATGGAAGATACAACAAAACAAATATGAATGCTCACCCCTGCTCCGTTATGTTTACAAGTCTTAAAGCTTTAGCAGACGAACTTTTTTCATGCTCTAAATTAACTAGTTACGGCTAAGATTGAATCCAAACCCGACAAATGCTCACCCTCACCCTCGGAGGGGGATCTTGACCAACAAAATACAAAGAAGAAAAGGTGCCAACTAATGAAAACACAAGCAGCTTGAGATTGTAGGTGGCAAGATACAAATATGAAAAATAATATCACAAACATACACATTGTACGAGATGGGATTGACCTGAAAAAGATGACACATGGGAGAGTTTTGATTCCTAGCTTTGTAACAAAAAAGGGAGCATTCTGCAATTAATTATGTAATGAAAATGAAAACAATCCTCAACTGGTAACTAAATCCAAGGAAAGGACTTTTGCTTCTGCTGCATGCATAAATATATAAGCTTAAGTGAGGCTAACCTCTGCATCCAATTTAAGGAACTTAGTATCAAAATGCTTTGGTGCAAGTGACTTCAAATGCTTATCCATTATCCTGCAAAGCTCAACAGCACACAGTGATGTTAATTTTGCAAGAACTAACTAAAGTTATGTGTGACAAACTTCACTAGGAAAAGACAATCACCCAAAGACAACCAACATACAGAGGCCATTTTTTTGCTTGGTTCGCTAAAAGGCTAAAAGGTTAAGAAAGAGTATGGGGTGACTTATTTTCAAAGCGAAAATGTTTTCTTTAGCAAGAACAATGTTTTCACTTCAAAATTCAGCTTCCTGAAAGAAAATGATAAAAAAGAGCTTTACTTATTAAGAGGACCTTTTGTCCTTACCAAAGAAAGAAAGCACCGGGTTGGACTTTTAAAAAACAAGCAAACACTCTTAGTGATTCAACAAGAGAGCACACTTTATTAAAGCACTTAAAAAAACCGCCCCACATAGACTCGAAACCAAGTTCAAGGAGAGATTGAATTATGATGAAAAAGTAGTTGTGTCAATTTCCTCACTTGCAACGGTAAAACTCCCGATGGGAGAAGTGACAAATTGTTTTTTCACTGCCAGTAACTTCACCCAAAAAATCTCCTTCAGTAATCTCTCTATACTCTCCATGCCCTTTCTTTTTCAATTCTTGTCTCTTCTCAGCTTCTTTCTGAATAAAACCAGTCAAAATAACACATTTATAATAATAGAGTTATTCTCATTCCTAAATTAAATATGTCAAAGACTTGAGGTATCGACAAGCCTAATACTAACCCGGAGAGAAGCAATCCTATCAGCATGCAACTTTTCCAACTCAGGATCCTGTTTATTTGACAAACAGGAAGATTAAAAGTCTTGTTTAAGTGCAAAAAGTGAGAAATGAAGATACATAGGCGAACTTACATCCATTAACTCATCAAGATCAACCACTTCGTTAGCATAACTTGAAGTCGCTGCCTTGTCATTTGATAGCAATTCCTGCACAAAAGAATATATGATAACATTGAGACATAAGCTAAAGAGAGCCTCCAAGATAGAGCTACAAGAAAGAATTAACACCACGTTGCTGATAGTCCACAACTCCACATAAGCAAAGACCTAAATTAGAGAAAAAGGACTATATGAAGGCGATGCATTTTCTACTTAAGCTGAAATGGAATACTAAACCTTCATAACCGTTCAGAAATGAAAAGGAGACTGGTATCACAATTTAATGCAAACTCCTCAGAACCATTTTATTCAGTGGTCCTTATAATGTTTCTAAGTGGATACAAAACTAAGTGGGGCTTTGTTCCATAGCTTCTTTCTTAGGAAACATTAAACTAGATTGTCAAGCAATACCCATGTAAGATTCAGGGAAAAAATTAAGCTTTCGAACACTATTACATTTAAAGAATGAAAAA